CTCTTTTTGCTTACCTGTCTCTCTCTCTGTCTCTCTCTCTCTCTCTCTCTCTCTCTCTCTCTCTCTCTCTCTCTCTCTCTCTCTCTCTCTCTCTCTCTCTCTCTCTCTCTCTCTCTCCTTACTTGAATTACAAATGTACTTAAATGTAGAAGTGGGGTTTTAGGAAGACGGGGTGCTCCATGCTTCCTCGCCCCTCTTCATGAAAGTCCATTTCAGTGTGGGCAGGCTGATTGTCTCCATCATCAGCTGGTTGTTGTAGCGTCTGATGGGGTCCCGCAGGCTGCTTCTCCTACCTTCACCAGGCTGTACTCCTTTCGCAACCCTCCTTCTTGAAGGAGTCCTCTCCACGGCTGCTGGCTAGGTGATCTCGGACAAGGGCCACTACAGTTGGAGGGTCAAGGGTAAGCACCCCTTCTGTGTTTGCGGAGCCTGCTAGCTTATCTTCTCTTTCTTTTCCCTTGACTCCTGCATGTCCTGGGTAGAAAATCCACTGCCAGTGTCTGATTTTGCTGTCTTGGATTGTCTTAAAATAGTCTTGAACCAATCTGCATAGAGGCTGCCGGACAAGATCTTATCCAGAGTACTAATTGAGTCTGTAACAAAAGTAGCCTGCTGGTATCCATTAGTGCAAAGCCATTTCAGAGCCTCATTGATTGCCTTTATCTCCATGCACATGCATGATATGACGAGGCCCGTTGCCCCAGATGCCTCCTGGATTGTTATTCCTTGGCAAGAAGTCGTGTAAGCCCAGCCCAATTTGATCCCACGCTGAACAGAGCCATCAGTGAAGATGTTGGTTTTATCCTCTCTGTAGTTCTCTTTAATTAAAGTCTGGATTTCTGCATGTGTTGCACCTTCAGGCCCGTCACGACATTCACGCCCAAATGTAGCAATCACCTGAGTGAACCTGTCTTTCACCTCATCCGCAAGTTGTACCCGTGTTTTCCTTCATCTGATTGCCCCCACAGTGAGACCACACTCTTCAATGGTTTGCATTGCCTGGGTCATCCACTCCGTGCCTCGTTTAAGTCTTGGGTTAGTTTGACGACTTACTTTGTCATGAAGAAGATTCTGTGGATCTGCGCAGACTTTCAGATAAGCTTTGAGCTGAGCGAGCTTGTCTTTCGTTCATGCCGGATAGGCCTACATTGCAGTAGCTGATGTATCTTTTGTGCAACCGAGTATGGCTCTCGATTCCTTCATTCTGGATCACGTTCAGCCTTCTACGTTGCGTCTTGGACAGTGTCAGTAGACCAAAACCACAATCTACCTGAGACAAAACAAGCATGTCAAAGAGTAAGACCAAATTTCTCTGCGGCATCTTGTCTCTCGGCATCACCTTCACTACATCCAGCCCTTTTCTGACTTTTGTGATGATTTTCAATATGTGCTTCTTTCCACTCAATGTCCTGTCAAATACTATTCCGAAATAGCGCAGTGTTTTTTCTCTTTTGATTGTCTGGCCTTTGATGTAGACATCTGGCATCTGGGCTTTCACTGCTCGATTGTTGAGAGAGCACCAGAATACTGTCGCTTTTCCAGGATGGATTTTGTCTTTATTTCCTTCACACCATACTCCAATCCTATCAATCTCTTTCTGTATACTGCTAGACCGTCATCCACAAAGCTTAGTGTCCTGCCAGGGCCCTTCCAATTGGTTAGAAGCGATTCCTATTGTATAAACGTTGAACAAAATAGGTGATAGGGCAAAGCCTTGAGGTAAGCCAGGTGCGATTTTGTCGTGCAAACGTTTGATGCACATGAGCCAAGCCTCATAGACACCCTCCTCTTCAACATTGCTTCTCCATTTCAGATAATCAAAGCTAGGGTGATTCTCATGTTGACTAGCGTCCTCATATCAGTATATTCTCGTATTGTACCCTTCATAAGAAGTCATGTATACGTCACAAGGGAGTGATTGGTATCTCCTCAAACAATTACCAATAGCCCGTTGGCAAACTGACAGTTACGCATCGGATTATCTCTTTTGATTCAGTCTGATATAAGCTCTGGTGTGCAAACGTGGGAAAGGGGGGGGGGGGGGGCGGGCATCAGGGTCTTTACGCTAAAATAAAATGTATCTCTAGAATTATGAACACTGGGTTTTCTCCGCGTATTATAATGGCATTTTTTTTAAAATCGGAGGGGCAATAGCAGTTAATATAGTCTGATCTAAACGGGATGAAAACGCGTTGGGACTAGAATGGGTACAATACCAACACAAAAATTTTGTGACGAACACGGATTCGATTCTACAATTTCGTCTACATGCAGGGTGATCCAAAAACAACAACTTTACAACTTGTTTTTTAAATATCTTCCGCCATACTAAAGTTTTGCGTTTCAGATTTTAACATAACGTTTGGAAGCCAAAAGGAATTTGTCTGATATGTATTTTAGATAAGTCCATTAAATGGTTTTGCTCTATATAACGCATTACCCCCCCCCCCCCACTTTCAACCTTATCGCCATTTTCATAGCATGACGCACCAGTTCGCATTAGGCCTGCCACTAAAAGTTGCAACAATCACGCCATATTGCAGGCTACAGCACTAACAATTCAACAGAAATCTGCAGATATTATTTTTCCAAAATTGTGTTCGCCTGCTTAGATCAGGGTTACGTTTAGTAAAGAACAGGGCGCTTTTTGTATTGAACATTACCTCTCCACTAACTCACCATCCCTGACATTCCGTAAATTCAGCGCACGTCATGGAGAAAATGCTTAGGTACCCTCAAGACCTTTGGCGTCTTGAGTAGAGAAGTTCCGTCAGTTTGGATCTACAGCAAATCAGAACTAAAAAGTTCTTTAAAACTTGACCACTTCATGTCGAACACGCACCATGCGCAGCCCTTTAAACGTCACCAGAGTGCACATTTCAGTAACCGAGTCCGTAGGCGATCTGCAGCTAGGACTTTCCTACACCTCAACAGTCTGCATTCTCATGGCATATATTAACCTAAGACTATACCATGTTTATCTTCGCAAGGCCGAGATGACATGGAACAGGGCATGGCAATGTGTTCAGGATTCCTCGATTGTCTTGTAAAGAGGGATCATTTCCTCAATGACATAATTTGGTTTAGTGCAAAGCCCATTTTTACCCTGCAGGATATGTTAACTCCAAAGATGCTGTCTATTGGGCACCCCACTCTATTGTCTCTAGAAGCCACTTGTTAGTGAACATGTGCAGTGTATGTGGCTTTAAGAATTCATAGTTTAACAGGTCCTCGTGTAAGGGCGCCACTGAACATTTCGAACGACGCGTTAAAAATGTGTCGAGTCCAAAGGTGGGAATGTGGAGCACTGCTTCTAGGAATTTCAGAATGAAATCATTGGGTTTTTAAAACTCTGTAGAATAATTAAAATATTGTTTAAATATCACAGGGGTGGAAAATTAATGTCAAAGAGAAAATGAAGAAAAAGGTCAACTAATCTTTTCACGACTTCCTTTACAAGATTTTAAAACATTGGTGAACTTTGCGTTTTTGGGTGCTTTTTTCTTTAAGCCGTTTCCGTTTTCAAAACATGTTTCTTCTTCGTATATTTTATATCAAGCAAATCCATTTTGAATGAATTATGTCTGTTCCAAATTACAGCATTCTAGAACAATTTTTTGCGCGAGATATTCAGAAAAAAAGTTGTAAATTTTTTTTTGGATCACCCTGTACATGGCGTATGTATAACTTTAACCCATTTTCTGAGAGACGGTCGACTTATGGACGATCTACTTTGGTGGGCAGTCAGGGTTAGTGTTCCTTTGCGGGTTATTCCTCAGTTTAATAATCAATACTTTTATTTTGTGGGGCAGGTGGCGAGAAAAGACCCAATAATATAAGCCGTTGTTTGTTGTTGTTGTTGTTGTTGTTGTTGTCTATTTTCTTTTTTGATAATTTTTTGTTACTTATATTTTGAATTCTGCCTTTGAGCCTCAGCCGGCAATGTCTTTATAATAATATTATAATTATACATAATACATAGAGCTACACATTTTGAACTTGGCCGTCATGTCATTTTGTACTATACATGTACTTTAAACTCTTTCATTTTCCCAAAGCGAGCATGATCAACAAACTCTTAGGCCTAAACTTGAAGCCAAGAAGAAATCAAACAAAATGACGGTCTAATTTTCAATAACGGATGTTTTTTTTAAAGTTCTCATCAAATCTGAACTAAATCGTAAGAATGTGTGCTATAGTTGCGAAAGTAAAAGCAAGAGCTGTTTTAGAGTGGAGGCGCGAACAACCGTTTTGTGACTTGTGGAAAGCAGTGTGGTCTAAAGAAGCCAGGCCTACACTAGGCCTAAAAACGCAATTTTCAACTTTTCAGTGTTTACGGTAATTCAACGATTTACCCAATGGCTTCGCCTCATTCATATTCAGTAAGGCTTTGTGAACTCTGACCTGCACCTCTAGCCAATCATCTAATTCCCCGTAGAGGGGTCTGAATATTGAAAAAGCTTCGCTACAAGAAGCTCGTGTTGTTTGTAATGGTTATTGTGAATCAACTTTGCCGCCATGACAGGGGCCGCAACGTACGTTTACTGAAATGATGAATTTGTGCTGTTTTTCTGTTGCTCTGATTTTTCCGACTTGATGGATTGAATTAATTGTTTATTGTTAAGTGATTTGTGTCAGAAATATTGCAGCTGTGGTTCGCCATGACTTTGGAAATCGCGAGAGTCTCAACATCCTTCTAATCATAATGCGGTTTGCAAGGACGTGGCCTGATCACGTGGTTCTACTGTTATGTTATGAGGCAAGCGTAGCAGTGCTTTGTAGGGCTGGGCCAAGTTGAAGTGAAAACCACCGTCTTGCCCAATGCTACTTGTTGTCAGCCTCGGGGACAATTCGCATTTGTTTTTTGGAATCTCACCGATGATACTATCTGGGACATTCGTATGTGTGCTTGAAGAAGACCAGGTTGCAACAGCAGGTTTTTGTTTTGACAAGTGAAGAATAACCTCTCCTTTTTCCTGTTATTTGCGAAAAAGTCACGTGCTTTTCATAGTCTGTGCTTGTCCCACTTTCACATCAAAATGACAGCGTGCTTCAGTTCATTGTCATAGCGGAAATTGTATGGATATAAATCGTGCAAGCTGTGTTCACTCGTAGATCTATGTTGCAAAACATAAGATCAGATATCCTTTTTTAAACCTTCTGTTTTGGATGCGTTTATATGTCGGGTTCATCAACTCTGAGGATATGTTTGGCCGCAATGGCACCGGCGCTGACTGAAGCGGCATCAGCGCGACTAAAACTTCAAGACACTTCAGTTAGGAACGAGCCGCCTACAAGGAACACGGACATAACTGAACACTCCGTGGCTTCTCGTCTATTGCCCTCAGGGAAAGAACGATCAGCTAGGACCAAGGGGGATTTAAATTTCCCGAGTAAACTGGGTGGATCAAAGGAGGGGCAACTGTCCCACCTGTCATTTGTCAACGTGAAAACCGACAACAAAGTTAACGGGACTCACTTTGACCCAGAGGCGAGGTCACCCCGTCGGGGGAACACTAAGGCAACGCAATACCAATTATCAGCGTCTATTGCTTTACCAAGCAAAAAGCTGCCAGGGTTGACCACTGTGAATTTGAAAGAGTCTCAGTTTGATCAGTTTTATAAAGTTTCAGAGGATTTTCAGATCAGTCCTGTGAAAGACAAAGATACATTTATTGAAAATTTAAAAATAATGAATCAGCCGCAAAAAGCAGCTGAAAAACAAGTTGATTCCAATAAAGTAGTAGACAGTGGTGTTGCAAAGACAGGTTTAGTAAGTTTTAAAAGATCAGATCCCCTTAAATCAGGTATGGTGAATGGGGACAATGATGATCTGAGGGAGAAATCAGAAAATCGACTGACTTTGAACGAGTGTAACGAGAAAGGTGATGCTGGTCTGGGAAGAAGCATTTTGGAAGGGTTAGCGTCAAAATTGTCAAATAGGGAGGAATCTCTAAAACAGTCCAGCAGCATGGGTGTATACATAAAAGAAGACAAACTACTTCCTCATGTGGAGTCTGAAGGGAGCTCCAAGTTTGAGGTGAAAGAAGTTCACATGGAGGAAAAGATGAATGAGGAAATGAGGAAAGATTGCATGAAGAAGCAAGCTTATCTTGAAAAGAAAGTTGATACACTTTTGAGGAGAATGAAGAGGATGAAAGGAAAAGTGGTTGAAGCTCACACAAAGGAGCAGCTCCGACAGTTTGTCAACTACCAACACAGAAATCTCCAGATGGTTGCCAAGACAATAAAAAAGGAAGCACCGGGACCAGAGGAGCTGAAAGAACATTTCCTGAGCAATGAAGAAGTGAAAAACATGTCCACTGCGCAGCTGGTGAAGCTGGTAAAAACTCACCAGTCAAACAAACCTGTTGCTCCTGTAGACAATTCTTCGATGCGGGTAGCAATGGGCAGCAGCAGTAGTGCTGTTTTCATGGACCCATCTATCCGTAGCCAGGCATCTCGGACTTCAGAGAGACTGGCTCATAGCATACAGACTGCCAGGTCAGAGCTCGATTCTGATGCAACTGCCAGTAGTTCTGGTGGTGAAAGTGGAGACGAAGATGGGATTCCATCTCAGCTGCCTTCAGATGTCGCTTTGCCAGCCCTGTAAGCATATGTTTTGTGCTTTGTTTTTTTACTTGTTCATTGTCACCATTTTAATTTCAAGGGTTCTTCCTGTTTTGTAGGTTTATAATGTGTAGCCTAGATCTAGTATGTTTACTTTTTGTCACGAATATGTTATATATAGATCTAGATTCTAGTTATGATAGAATGAAATACCACATTTAATGTGACGGTGAAAGTTTAAGAGCAAGCATGTTAAACTCGGGATTCTCTCTGCGCCTCGTCATGTCACATATATATAGACATAGTCTATTCTATAAATTGTAATTGATACTTGTGTGACTATGATGAGGGTCACACTACAACTAGTCTACTATTTTTAAAGCTATTTTACCCGTCTCAACTATTTGATGTTGTATGATAAAGGTATTTTGCAGATATTTGTTACTTTCAGAAACTTATAATGTGCTGCTTACAAATGTTTTAGTGTTAGAACAAATTAAAATACAAAGACAAGTGGTGATGCAATTTGTAAAAATAATAAATGTTTAAAAGACAGCATACACACAGTTTGCAGCAGTGTCAAGCGCTTTTTGTATGGAAACTGCAAGTCTTGTCTGAAGCTTTAACACTAAATATTCAGGAAGGTACATGTATAATAAAACCAGGTATCCCCGGCTCAAGATGTTTTGCTGTGAGTGTGGAATTCTAAAAGTACTAGTAGTACAGTTTGCAGGCTCTCTTGTGTCAAGGCAACATGAAAGATAAAAGGTGCTTGAGAATAATAATAATGCAAATGGAACATTTAAAGGAAGAGAAATTTAAAAAATCATTTCCGAGATTCCTTTGACAAGTCGGGGTGACTTATTGTTTAGTATAAAAAGGTTAAGGAGATCAACAGACAGTAGAGTATTGGAAGTGTTTTTCAGTTATTTTCACATGAGAAAATTATCCAAATAATTATGTGACAACTGTGACTTCAGTATGTGTAGTTTTGTAATGATGGGCTTGAACTTGCTGTCATCGTCATCATACTACTCAATGGTAAGTTTTGTTTTTTGCCTTGTGATTTCCTACTCATAGAGCTGTGGTTTGTACCGGCAAATATAAGGCTAGCGGAGTGATATGCTTACAATGATCTGTCTTACCGTAATGACTTAATGGCACACTAATAAAATTTGTTCTCTTAGAGTCTTTGTCAAACACCGTCCATAGTACTGTACTGTAGTAATGTACACCACACCAAGCAGATCGCTTTTCATGTTTCATTCCATTTGTTTGTTTTAATTTTAGTTGGAGGAATTCTGTAATGAGCGACCACTATGAAATAGAGGTTTGGGGTAGGATGAGGTCTAAATCTAGATCTAGGTCCCTTCTTAATTTCATCTTTCCATTTAATTTCCATCATAATTGTTTTTTCATCACAACGGCTTCTTTGAACTGATTGAATGAACACACTAAGGATGGGTTGGCAGAAGACTTAGTAGCAAGCGAATATGACTGCTATGAGCAGTCTTTGACTTGAGGCTGATTTGTCACTTAAATGACATCGACTGACTGACCATGCTGGGCAAGAAAGACCTCTGTGGACAGTTTGAAAATACCCCCCCC